TGAGAAGGGAACCTCATAAGTTCATTCTCAAAGAAAATCTTAGAGAGAAGTTTTAGAGAGAAGGACTTTGGGTCTGTGAGCTCCTTTCTCTCCCAAATTTTTCTGTTTAATTCTTCTTCTCTAGATCACTAACTTCTTCTATCTTCTCTTGAAATTCAAGCTAGGAAGCTTGCTCTTGGTGGATTAAAGTCCAGGAGTCGAGCTTTGGAGGAAAATTCTTCTTCTTCTCTGTTCTTGGCTATCTTGAGCCAATCTTAAGGTGAGGGAAGCTAGAATGTAGGTTGTTTGGTTGCATGTGAGTTTAGGAACTCAATTGATGCATGAATTTTGAGATTCCATGGTTGGATTACAGAAACTTCTCATTTTCGGGTTTTTGGGAGAAATGAGGGTTTTTGATGATTTTGATGCGTATGTTAGATGCATGTTGGATCTAAGGCTATTTTTTTGAATTGTATGGAGCCCATGCATTGTATTTCTTGGTTTGCATGTGGTTGGTTTTTTTGATTTTCAGGTGTTGGGGGAAATTTTGAAGTTTTGATGCTGTTGTTTGAATTTGCATCGGGCGCAATTCTTGGCACCAGGCGTGAATTCATCAGAGGCCACCATTTCAAATTCACATCGAGCGTGAATTGAGATGGAGGTCTCTGGATGAGTCACGTCGTGCGTAAGGAGAACCACGCCAAGCGCGATATCAAATAATGGGCATGTATGTTCACGTACTGATATGGCGCCAGGCGTAGAGTGGGCGCGCCGGGCATGAAGACCCTTTTGAGGTCTTTGTCTAAGTTGGCACCAGGCGCAAGTTTGGGTGAGAGTGGTGTTCAGGTAGGCCACTGATTTGGGTGAGTCTCCTCTAAGTCTTTAGCTAGTGTTGGAGCAGGGTATGAGGTCGAGGGTTATTCCCTTAATCAAGTGCTGGGGAAGGTACGTGGTTCCTTGTGGATAGTCCGTGGGCGAACTCCACAATTGACTTGGTAATGCATGCCAAGGTCGTGGTAAGCTTGTATCCAGTTGTGCTATGCTTGACGGTGGAACCAGACTTCCAAGAGTGTAAGTGACGTCATTCGAGTAAACCCGAGTGAGGATTTATATCCTGTTTAGCTGTGACCGAGCGGGTGCATTAGCCGTGAAAACGGTTGAGATGGTTTCGGTAGGATTGGGATGTCACTTACACTACTCTACTGTTAGGGAGATCTCCTAGGTGAATGCATGACGACGCATTATGCATTGATATTTATAATGAGTTGCTATTATTGTATAATTTTATAGTATGATGAAGTGTGTGGTGTTGACTTCATGTTTGATGAAATGATGAATGATTTGAGATGTGAGCCCCTTTGGGACTTGATTTGAATGCATGTGTAGTATAGATTTTATTATGTAATTGTATGATTGTTTTTAATTTGAACTCTAGCTTACCCTTTTGTTTCCATGTGGTGGGACTGCGATGATCATACTTTGTATGGGAGCAGGTCAAGGCTAACTTGGAATTGAGGTGACCGCTGCGAGATGAGGAGTTTTGTCCTAGTATCAGATACCTTCTTGGGTAACTGTTGTTTATGCTTGACCGGCACTAGGGAATTATTATTTTGGATGACTGTACATATTGGTGTTATATTTTGTACATAGAAATATAATTATTATTATAATTATATCTACCAGTATGTATGAGTTATCTACTTTATCGTTTTTCTCTAAAATACAATAAAATAAGAGTTATGTCAATTTCTTATTAGTTAAATAAGATTATATTTCATACGTTAGGGGGAAAAAAGAAGAAAAGCATGTTACTATTGTGTCCCCAAGTCAAAATAATTTCATCATGTAAATTACGTACATGGAATGCAGTGTTAATTTCTAAAATGTACGATGTGATGTAATATATTTAATTTTTGCCTGATGGAAATTGATTCCTGCTCCCATGCTCCGCGTCAACTCTTGTTGATGCATAAGGCACCCGTTTTGTACAGCGATGGCAATCGGGTAGGTCGGATATGAGTTTTATGATATCCGTTTTTGTTCCTGTGAATCAAATTCATTCCTGTCTTCGTATTTGTATTCATTGGGTATATAATTTTCATCTTCATTCCTGTCTCCATTGGGTATCGGGTATATTTGTACCTATATCTGTATCTGTCAGTTTTTTTTTTTGTAAAAAAAATGATATTTTTAAAATAAATTTTATATTATAATTATAATTAGATTATTTCTCTATCTTATATTATAATAAATAATCACACATAATAAAATATTAAAATTCTTTAACATAATTAAATTGAAAGTGGATATTAAATTAAAAATGGAAACAAGGACGAGTACAGTTACGGGTACGGGACACATATCCGTACCTGTACCCAATTTAATATATTGGATTTTACCCATACCTATACTCATACCCGTATCCGATCAAACCGAATATTCTTCATTAAAATCAGGACAAATTCAAATATTACTCGCAGATACGGGTATATTTGCCATCCGTAATTTTGTATTCGGTTGTAAGGCCTTGTTATATATATTGCTACGTTGTTTTCTTTCTGTAATCTTATCTTATACATAAAAAAAAATTATATAATTCCCTGATTGACTTATAGAATATATTATGAATATTGACATGGTACAGAGCATGACTATTTTATTTTTATAAGATCTACTTGAGGGAGAACATTAACTTTCAATCAGGTCATAATTTTAAATTAGAAGAATATTCCCCTTGGTACCTCGCATAATATTGATTTCAAAAACCATCGTACAGTGGTTTTATCATCATGCTATCCTTAGGTCCCATGCCACTATACAATTCCTCAAAATTACTTCTTATCATCGAGAGACATATTTGAATAATTTGCCAACACTTCTCTTTATTATCTGTGACTAATATTTCAATAAAACTCTTTTAGACTAGCTTTTAAAAAATTCACTATTCATCCTCGCTCTATTTTTTTATATATAAAATTTATAATAAAAATAAGTTACTCATTAAGATTCTTAAATTAAGACAAAATAAAAGAGATGCTATAGTTACTCTCGTTATTTCAGAATCTTCTTCTGCTGTTAAGAGGAGTTTCAAATTAGAATATTCTTAATATAAGAAACCAAAATTATATATTAATAATAATTATTAAATTTAAATAGATAATTTAAGTTAAATTCTTACAAACAAAATTACCTCATATTATTATCATCATAATTATTTTTATAATAATTGTCATCGTTACTATTATACTGTTACTACCAGCAAATAATAGATTAAAAAAAATAAAAAATTAAGAAAGATTTGAAAAAGAAGTTTTCATTAAAGAATTATCCTTAAAAATGCTTGCATTCAAGATATTTATTCAAATTTATATATAGAATATTTAAGTTTTAAAAAATAACAGGCTTAATATGAAATATTGAAATTAAAAAATAATATTAAAAAAAATAAAAAAAAATTATTTTATGAGAGTTAAAATTTATAGGCCAAGTAAACAAAATAAATTAAAAAAGTAAAGGAACAAAGTTATTAATTAGTTTTAAAAATTTTAAAGGAACTTTTAAGTTAAAACTTCTGAACAATTTGCTTAATGGTGTGTTTGGATGAGGAATTTTACAAATTTAAAGAATTTTAAATTCTTGGTATTTGAATTACTTTGATTTCAATTTCTATCATTCTTAAAATATTTTGTTTAGATAAGTCAATTCAAATTTCTCAAATTTTAAATTGTTGGGTTGGATATGATAATTTGATTCTACCATGATAAAATTGATTTTAAAAATATATTTATATGTTGAGATTTTTAAATTAAATTTTATAAAAATAAATATTAGCTAATTTTTAAATATTTAATAATTTTAAAAATTAATATTAGAATAATATTTAATGACTTTAAAAATATTTTTGAATATTCAATAATCAAAACTTGAAGAGATAAGAGATAAGATAAAATATATAAGTGAAATAAGAAGAAAAAAATTATGAGAAATTTCAAATTCTTGCTTTTTTGGGAGAATTTCAAATTCTACTATTTTAAAGAATTTTACAAATGCATGAATTTCAAATTCCTTATAAATTCTCCATCCAAACAAGATATTTCACCTCAAAAAATTTGAAATTATTCAAATAAATGAATTACTCCATTTAAATTCTCCATCCAAACACACTGTAAAGCTCTTATTTCGAATTTAACCTTAAAGTAATTTTTAAGACATAAACTATCGAACCAAAACATATATATGAACTAATTTATGTAATTATAGTTCTAACATATATTGATTACATTTTTTTTTCAACTTATCAATTTTTTGCTTGCAACATCAACGTACGTTAGTACTTTAAACAGGCTAAAGAAAAATTCCATTACATTAATTTATTGTATTTCATCATCATCCTGAACCAAAATGGCAATTAATGACAAATTTTGAATTCTTAAAAATAAACGACAGTCATTTATTTACATTTGTTACTTTAATTTTATTTTGCGATTCATTCCATTTATTAAACTAACATTAATTTGTTGCTCCATGTTCATATGTATACATTTTTAGATTATTTTGATCTAACATTGACTCATCTAATTTATTGAGTGACTTTAATATAAAGATATCGAAAATATCTCCATCACTTTGATACATTTTTTTAATATATTTTGTTACATATAATATAGTAAATAGAAGATGATATCTCATTTTTATCGGATAAAAAATTAATTAAATGTTAAAATTTTTGAACTAAATACTATTATTTATTTAATAATTAATCAAAATTCAGTAATATCTAATTTTATCAAATACTTTAATTATTGAACTAAAGACTAGATTTATCAGAGAAATTTCACTTTTAATACAAAAAGATCTTCTTGAATAAATATATCCATCAAAATAAGATTTTAATTGTTTTAGAGAAATGGCAAATCCTTAGCCATTTATCAAATCACGGTACATTTAAAGCTTAAAATAAATCCATATTATGTTAAATAATATAACAACAATTGCTGTTTTGATAAATTAATTTTTCAAGTTTAAAAGTGATATAGCTCTGGTGCTAATCTTGGCTTAGCAACTGCCACAAGTGGCTCTGCTAGAGAGATATCAATTTTGGATTCAGCAAGGTTTATTGTTGGAATGTTGGATGGTGCACTCCAAGTGAAGCCATGAAGCAATCTTGCAAATAACATCACGGTCATTGTGGTGCCAAGCATCACCCCAGGACAACCACGTCTTCCTGTGCTGAATGATATGAACTTCAAATTTGGCTCTGTCAAAACTACATCAGAACCATCACCCTTGAGGTGGCGTTCTGGTTTGAACTTTTGAGGTTCATTCCACACTTTTGGGTTTCTCCCAAGCTCTTGTCTGCTTAGTATTATATGGCTACCCTTTGGGATGAAGTAATTGCCCACAATTGTGTCACTCATAGATACATGGGGAGGATTAAAAGGTGCAATGGGATGAAGGCGAAAAGCTTCTCGTGCCAAAGCCTTGACATAATTGAGCTTTGGTATATCTGATTCTTGAACCAGCCTCTCTTTTCCTACCACACCGTCCAATTCTTCAATGGCTTGTTGAAGCATCTTGGGTTGGTTTATCATTTCAGCAAGTGCCCATTCAAAAGCATTTGATGGGTTGTCCACTGATGCAATCATCAATTCCTACAACGAGTTTGAAACATGCACTAAATGGAATCATTGTTTTGGCTCTTCTCTTGTCTTCCCAATTATAAAATATGATACATGAAAGAAAAACTAACAATTAGGAAAGAGTAATATTTTTTAAACAGATGTCACTTTTTAAATGAGTCACAACCTAGAAAGAGCAATAGACCAACAGAAATGTTAAGAAAAAAATTTAAATACAATATCAAAATTATTGTTAGTATTATTTTTTAATCAAAATTAGAGTTACCTGGTATTCATATTTAATAAAATTCTTTATTATACATATTATAAAATTTCAAGTTGAATCGAGGAAATAACAATTATGATACTACCCATATAATTAATTTTATCTTAATACTAATTTCAATCTTCATGAAATATGAAATATGTTTGTGTTTGCATGTGCAAGGTTGATGAATGTAAAATAATTAAAGATTGAAGTGGAATATTACTATAATTTGTGCATTGATTTCCTCTAATGTCAATGATGGGTTATTATTGGCATCTTTCAAGGAGATCAAAATATCAAGCCAGTCCTCTTCATCAACCTTTGCTCCATCATTCCATTGTTTAACTCTTTCTTGAACGATGGGATCATGGTACTTCTTGATGATCCTCAAAGCTTCCTTCAACTTCTTTTGGTGGCCATCCAAGTCTAGTTCCCTCAAGCATGACATATAATCAGAAATAGAAAAGGCGTAAACATACTTGAGCAAAACGAAGATGGAATCAACATGTTCTACTTCCTCAAAACTAGGCCCTCCATCCTTCATACCCTTCCCAAAATACCTCGTATTGAAAACAATTTTCCTAATCACGTTACCACAATAATGCCTTGCTACACTCCTTACATTCACAAGGCCACCAACACCATCGTTCACATTTTTGCATTTGTTGTAGACGTAAAACATAAGGTTGTTGGCTTCTTCAGTCCTTTTCTCACGGAGCCATAGGTGCTTGTGTGGAGAAAGCAAAGCATTGCTTAAGATTTTCTTCATTTTCTTCCATTGGTCTCCAAAGGGCACTAGAATTGTTGTTAAATACCCGCTACTAACGAGATCAGTGCACATGCTTACTGATCTTGATGCAAAAGTCGCATCTTGTTCTCTCAAGAACTCAGTAGCAATGGTGGGAGATGTCACTGGGATAACATAGACATTTCCTAGGCGGATACATGCAATTTCGGTGTTCATTTCTTTCATAAGCTTATGTATCCACCTATGTGTAGGTTTGTTTGCAAGCATTTCAGGAAGGTTTCCAATTATAGGCCATGGTTTGGGACCTGGGGGGAGTTTTGGTCTTTGTTTCTTGGAATATTTCTCAATAGAGTTAGGTCTTTGGGCTTTGGTAATCATAATGATAAAGCAAGTGATAATAACAAGCAACCAAAAGCCTTGAAGATTTAACAACAAAAGAGAATAAAGGGTTTGATTCATGGCTTGGAAGAGGCTTTTAAGACAAAAAGGAAGAGCAAAGGTGAATAACTTTGGCTACAGTTTAGAGAAAAAATGGATGATTAATTCCTGAAGAGAAGTTTGATGCTTATTTATAGTGTAGCTAAAGCTGAATGCTAAAACCCTAAAAGAGCAGGGACAAGTATTATCTCATGGAGAAGAAAACTTGTCAAACAAAAAGCTCGTGCATGCATATCAGCATATGCATCATGACGTTTAGTATAGCAAGGTGAATTACGTTCAAGGTCGTGTGATCAGCAGGGGTGGTTGTTAAGGTTGTTAGACCTACGATTGTTATCTTTAATTACAATTTCTATTGTAATAAAAAAAAAATGCAAGAGAGAAATCATAATGTGTTTATTTTATTAAGATATAAAAAATTATTTTCGAAAATATGAATTTGGAAATTTATTATTAGTTGAACACCTTTTCGTAGCATATTTGGATTAATATTTTTAGTATTTTGTCCTTTGTATTTTATATAGGATAAATATTTATTTGGTTTAAATATGTTTTTAATCATTCAAATTTAGGGTAAAATTTTTTTTGGACCTTCAAATTTAAAATTATTGCTTTTAGTCTTTGTAATTTCAAAAAATCTTATTTTAGTCCTTATATTCAAACTTTGTTAAGAAATTTATCAAACATTATTGCATAAAATTTATCTATTAGTGTCCCTATTAGTGAAAATATCACATTAAATCTGGTTGATATTGCATAACTGTCTTAATTAGTCACTTTCGAATATGTTATTGGTGACCTAAGGGACTAAAATAAGATTTTTGAAAATTACATGGACTAAAAACAACAATTTTAAATTTAAAGGATCAAAAACAAATTTGTCTTAAATTTGAGAGACTAAAAACATATTTAAACCTATTTATTTATATATGATTAAAATCTATAATAAATAAATATTTTTATAACATAAATTATATTTCAGATTTATAATAAATAATTTAAATTATTATATAAGTATATATTTTAACATTGATAATTTTTTTGAAAATATATTAAAATTTATCATATAAAAAAAGATAAAAGATAGTATATTAAAATAAATAAATGGTTAAAAAAAGACACCAAATATACAGATAAAAAAATAAAAGGAGAGTAACTTGAAATGAATTATTAAGAGATTTTTATTTTATTTTGCAAGTCATATGGGCTATTGTGTGAAATGTTTAAGGGTTTAGGAAAAAATTGAAAATGTCTGATTGAGACAATGAAAAAAGTTAAAATCTCATTTTCTAAATTATCTATTTTAATTTATATTATAAGAATAAAATATTTACCTTATTTAATTAAACATTTATGAAACTGATATAAGTAATTATTAACTAAGAGTTTATAGTGATGGATTATATGGACAAGAATAATTAGCTTTTGGTACATCATCACCATCAATGCTATTTACATCATAAACATGACATATATGATTATAATAAATGACATTCCAACAATCTTCGCACCTAAAATCTATCATAAAATCTATCAACATCCAATAACGTATATATTCATGTTTCAGGTTCAACAACTTGTTTTTGCATGACTCAGGTTGAACAGATTGTTTAAACTAGTATGACTTTAATAATTACATACACCCATGTGACTAATGATACTGGTTTAAAAATGTCACTTCGCATTCATTACGCGAAGCACTAATTATTTCATTCCGTTAAAATTTATATAATCAACTATTGGAATTTAATGTCTCATAAAAATAAAAACGAAAGCAATTTTTTCTCTTTAACAAAGTCGTCTTGGGCTGTTATTTTTTTAGATTTTGAATCGTGACGATACATTCTCTTGTTTATGTAACATATCATATTCTTATTTTCGAAATTCATTAATAAATATTTTTCAATTAATTAATTAGAGAATAAAATATTTTGAATAATTTGATAAGATAATAATTGTTAATCATCTTTTTAAATTTAAATATATAAGGTTAATTATTTAAACTTTTATCAATGGGTTATGCATGTGGGTGAGAATTAGAGTTTTGTTTAAATACGTTAGTTACTCTAGGTCTACCTCACTTTTAATTTGATCATATAATTTGTGATTTGGAAAGGGAAATGAAGGTGAACCGGAGACAACTAGAGAGGAGTTCGTAGATTAGAATCCTAAAGTTAGCATCGATCAAGGTTAGGAGAGAGTGAGAAACTCCCTCTAGGATGCAATGTAATTGTTGGATAGTGAGATTGACCTGTAATCCCTAGGTTTTTTGTATGCATGAAGGTGAGAGATTAAATTCAAGCCTATTGTGAATATGCAATAGTATTGTCATATTCTAAATATGAGGAATATTTGTAGCGATTTGTTAGTTCTATAAATCATATATAATTATGAGTCTAAGAGTGTGTGAGGGTTCTTGAAGAACCATAAAGATGTATTTAAACCATTGAATAGGATATAATTTGAAATATTTGTAATTGCAAGATTAAAAATGAAAATTAATTAAATTATAGATACCCTTTTAACAAATTAAATTCATTAAAATCATAGAACCCATATTTATGTTAATTTGCAAATTGTGCAGAAAATGTTACTAATACAACGTTGAGCGACAACTTGAGCTCCCTGAATGTGGGAATCATGAATTGCTTGCAATCTTGACCATGCTGAACATGAGCTTGGTCACGTCTGGGGATGAAAATAGGTCAAACTTTAAACAGGTGCCTATGACCTGGTCACTTTCAAGCTTGACTTGGTCTAACATATTTAATAAAAATGTCAAGTTTAAACTTTTAAAAAACATATTTATATAAAAAGGCTAGGCTTAGGCTTATAGAAAAGTCTGTTAAGCATGATAGATCAACTTATTTATTTATATAATATAATAAAAAAATTAATATACATATATTATTAAAAATATAAACAAATAAATAAATTTATAAAACAAAAATAAATTATGAATATTTAAAATATTTTTTATACAATTTTTTTCATTATAGGTTTATAAGCTTTTGACTCATACATGAGTGTACATCAACATACATGGTTACGCATGAATTGTCCCTTCAATATATAACACCCTATTTTTATAAAATATACTATAGGTATTTAATTAATAATTTTAATACTTTATTTTTATTAATAAGAGTTGTTTGATATTTATTTTATTATTATTTACTATATTTGTGATAATTAAATATTTTAAATTTAGTAACTATTGGTAATTATTTTATATGAATATATATATATATATATATATATTGTGAGGTTTTATAATTAAAGGTTATATTATTTAATTATTTACAATAAGGTAAGCGAACTTATTTTTGATAACCATGGTTCACATTTTTACTAAAAGGTTAAAGGGAAGTTAAGTTTTAAAAAGAAAAAAAGAGAGAAAGTGGATCAGTTTTATGTTTTACCTTTTTCTCACGTATGCATTTATGCTTCAAAGCTTGGAGAACTGGAAGGAGGAGGAAATCACCCTAGAGTTAATTGTTCATCCTTTTTTCCTCAACAAGGTAAGGGAGAATGAGAAACCTCGCTTTAGGTGTGAGAATGTATATTGGGTAGTGAGATTGGCCTCAATCCTATGTTTGTTGTATGCTCATATATGAGGGGTTTTCTCCAATTGTGTCTGTTTCACTTTTTGTTCTTCTTGTATGTAATTAATTGTATGAATTGCTTGAATGAATGATTAATTTCAGTTTTAGAATTGTAATGGTATGATTTGAGATCTCTATGGGTTCCTATGTGAAATCCTAAGGGAATACATTGAGAGTTATAGAAGAACATTCTTTGAAGATGTAATTATATGAGTAAATTGTATTGTTTTGAATGTTCATTGCGTGATTTAGAACGCTTTTACCGATTGTATGAAGAGATTGAAGATTGGTTGTAAAAATGAAAATTGCAAAGTATAGAGTTTTTGATAGCAAAAACCACGCTAAGCCTTGGTTATGTTTGGTTATCCGGTGTACATTTCTATACTGTGAGCTAGAGTGAGATGTTTCTCACTCTCTTTCGTTGTGTTGTTTTCCTTTACTTTTTATAAAGGTGAGCATCAGTATGAGGTTGAGGATGTTGGTGATGAAACTTAGGCTTTAGTATTGGGCTTTGCTCTAATAAGACACGTGACATCGGGACGTAGATAGGATTAGATTAGGATGTTATTTTTATTAAATTAATATTTTAAAAAACTTAGCTTTATTTATTTTGTAATTTTTGCTGATTATGTTATTTGTTTAAGTTATGGATGTGGTGTTCTCTATCTGAACACGTTTGGTATTTTAATAATGAAAGATTAAGTTACTCAGATTTATTAATTATGTGTTTATGGTATACGGGGTAGAGGGTGTCACACAATAGAAAATGATTCAATTTTTCTCTTATATTTCTTTTAAAATTTAAATTTTAATAAGATTGAGTAAACTATATTTTAAAAATAATTTTATTGATTTTTTAAAAATTAAGTTTATTGACCTAATTAATATTATTAATTTAAATAGGCTAATAGGGCAGACCATGCTTAAACTTTAATTTTACAAAATAGGCCCAACCTATATATTTAAAGCCTAGCCTGACCTGACCTATTCCTATCCCTAGTCACGTTAGGTGCAAAAGCCCGAAATGCTTGCGACAATGTTAATGTTAGATGTGAACTTGATCACGTCGGACGTGGGAGTTCTAGAGGCCCTTTGGATGCATCTCGCTAGGCGTAGGGAGAATCACACTAGGCACAATCCTTCCAAAGGCTCGTGACTATGCACGCACTAGGTGCAACACTGATTCAGAACTTGAATTTCATGTGTGTATATGTGCGTGAATTGTGTAAATAAGTGATACTCATAAGTGATAAATCATGAAATGTTGAGAATTATAGGTTGATAAGTGGTTTATTGTTCAAAGTGCATAAAGTCTTAAATGTCATGCATCATGTGCATATGTGTTTTGTTATGGATACAATGTGGAATACATTGCTAGGAAACACCCCTTTATGTAAAAGCTTGGGGATTAGTCATCGGGGATATCCTGGTTTGAGAAGCCCTAATCTCACCCAT